GAGCTTCCCTATCAACTGTGATTCGGAGACCTAGCATGGAAGGGTCAGTGTATATTGATGCGACGGGCGGTGAACGAAATCTTGGAGTTGACGTAAGGACTATGTTGGTGACCAATCACCTAATACTTCTCTCTGGATAAACTTCTACCTTCCTAGACCATCTGGCAAAGATAAATGGTTCATTTTTTGTCTTAAAATGATGTATGGTTTTGACGTAAGAGGACTCAAAATAAGGACTCGGACGTCTTTGAGAGCCGAATGAAGAGAAACAGAGAACACGTCTTGGTGTCGAATTCCCTCAGATCGAACGTTAAGCCTCTTGGATGATACATTTGTTGAGTAAACCACAACTCATAGTCAAATTCTGGGAGTCAAACTTTCGTGGTCAAAAAGATGATATAGATGTACACAAATCCAAAATAAATACTGTGCCATATTATATATATATATATATATATATATATATATATATATATATATAAGTAACTATGTATTTGGAATTTATACTGAAGATAATGTTACAGATCTACCAGGTGGTTTACTTCCATGACAAAACTAAAAAGTGTAAAGCCGTTTTTTGTGTGCTCAAAGACGGACTAATCAATTTACTTGACAGTGGTTGAAGTTTTTAACAAGTAAATTTCACTGGACAACGTAGATACCACTAAGGCTTGGTAATGAACCATCATACCTAATCATATATACAGATGATCAGCTATTAGTATTGATCAAGCTAGTAGGCTGTAGTTAATAATTAACATTAAAACACAGTGGAACACGTTCAGTTTCAAAGATCGTGGGTTGAGCACTAATACCGCCTCAACAACTTGTTTTGTACACATAAAAAAGTCAGAATAGTGGTCATAATAGGTTTTTACTAAGGTCGTGACGAATTTCAAACGCCATAATTCAAACATACAGTGTTGGACAACAGGAAATATAATGCATACGAAAAATGAGGAAGTATATAAACACCTTAACTGTTATGCTTTAATGTTACCAAGATGTTTTCAGTCAGCACTCAACCACCAATCTAAAGCTGTCAGAGTCTAACCTCGACTTCTTAGCATGGATTTTTGAAGATTAGGACAGCATTATAGACTACCTCATTTTGATGTAACAACGTGAGACTCCGGGCTATTGTATCAAGTCTGTTCCTCAACTTTAAAAAGCGTTTAACATGGTCTCAAACTAAAATCTTCTCAAGTTGAAGTCATTCGGAATCACCATTACTTTGTATTCGTGATTTGCTTCCTTCCAAAAAAAATATAAGTGATGGTAAGGTACATCTTTGTCTCATCACCGTGATCAAAAGCTAATGGAATTGTTAAGAGAAGTGCAATATGTCCACCATCTTTTTCATGTATGTAAAAGGTATATGTAAAACTGTGAAATTGGGGAAATTATACCTTTAAGGCGATGGTTAGTGGTAGTCGACAAAAAACCTTAGACCTGGGTTTTGTGCTATCAGACACTCGTTATTAAGGTGTACTACTAGTAGTAAGGGAACTGATGCTCTATTCCAATGTCACTTGGCTTCACACTCCGAGAAGTTACCACTGAGCTATCTGTGTCGCGACTGACCTCCGATGGGAATGGGGTATATTTACAAATGATTGGTCACTGGGTATTGATAGATGTCATGTGGTTCATGTCTTTCTTGGTCCAGCATCTTAATGGATGGAATTAAATGGTTCTACAACCACCCACTGCGCTTCAATATAGTGCACAAATATCGAGTCATCTAAACTGGTTGTCACACTTCAACTTGATCAGCAAAATTCAGTGTGCACCAAGAAAGATATGACAGTGGTCACTATATAGTGACCAGTCATACAACATGTATGCCGATAAACTCATCATAGTACATAGCGAGGTTCGGAGCTGTAAGTTAAGGATTTCTCAGTTTCAGCGCGACAACCTGTCTGTCTGTAGTAAAAATCGTCAGCTACCACGTAATCATAACGAATATGAGACCATGCATTTTAGAAAGTGTCTCTATAAAAATCACTGTGCTTAAATTAGTGTAGAGTTCAGATATCTACTTGACATTCGGTCTAGTGGTTCATTGTACGAAAAGTGTACAAGAACATACTTCACGTATCATTTTTACATCAAGAATACTGATGGGTTTCATAGTAAAAGGTTATTGATCAAAGAGACAAAGCTTACACTTTTTAAATACGTACATTACCCTACCTTGAACATCCTTTATGCATTTTCTCAAGTATGAATGCCACAGATGAGATGTCAGTGAGGAATATCAAGAAGAGCTTCACACATCGTTCATTGGGATAGGATTCTATCCTTGACTAAATAGGTTGATGTAGACATATTGCCTTAGAAAGTTTATGGGATCGCTGACAAATGAAGGACCTATTTTTCTACAAAATAGTAAGTCGGATTTCATTTTCAAGTCTTAATCCACGACTATGCCCATAGAATAAGAAACAACACATTTAAACTACCATAAACAATAAAAGTGAAAATGTCGATTATGAGCTTGTAGCGTGGCGTCGAGTTGAGGTTAACTATGAACACCGCTACAAAGAAACACGTGCCAAGTTAATCAGAAGGCGAAGGTTGGACGTAACCAAATATATCCATAAAATCCCCGAGAAGCCAAATATCAGAAGACAGTTAATGGACCAAGTCGAGGTGTATATTTGCTGGCGATCTCGTGGCATCGAAAGGATACCGAGATCGTGCCAGGATACAACCTTGGTTACAGAAGGTAACCGAATTCGCGCGAAGTTACAATCGAAGTGTGTGTATAAGAATGGAAGCAAAATATAGCTGTCATTAGCACAGTCAAACAAAAGCACATTAAAATAAACACTGGTACAGTTGGTTATAATAATAATTGTTTTTATTAAACCAGTCGTGTTCTCGTGATAAACGTGAGTCACTACAGGAGCCCCCCGCTAGAAAGGGTTTACACTTTCGATAAATAGCGGTTTGAATCGTGGGACTGATCGGCTGACGAGCGATTGTAGGACGGAAGAATTGGCGAACAGGAAAGCGATCGTTGATCGTCGAGTTGCCAACGAAGGTCGTTTTCGGAGAACGGTACCAGGAGCGATGTGTTGTATTTATTGCTCGAATTGGCATGCTACACCAGAGTGGTTTGTATCCAGAATCTGAAGATGGCGTTCGTAGGGTGCGCACCAGAAACGCTGCAGACGTAGGACGAAACCACGTTGAGCCAAAAGACCAGAAGCGACCGTAACGACCAAGTTCGAGACCAAGCGTATGCCAAGCATTCGAAACCAATATATCGACTGAGTGCGTTGACAAGAGCATGGGTGATCAGGCCAGCTTTCGCCAAAGTTGACTGAAGTCGACGGAACCAAACGGAGATGGTCGAAGGCGTGGGCTCAGGAAACAAAAAGAAAATCAAAAAAGAAGAGTGTAGCATACGTGTAGTATAGGAATAATCCTACACCGTATCGGTTGTTGACTGTGCGACTATTCGCGGAAGCGTACGGGTAACCGTACTCGGCGACCGGAACGTGAGACGGCAGTCTCGTTCGCGTCGCGTGAGCCTGCAATCTCATCCGAAGTCAAGGGCGGCGTGGTCTGCTGATCTGGACGTGAGACTGTCGTCTCGTCCGTAGACGGTGCAGATGACGCGTGCTGTTGACTGGGACGTGAGAATGAGGTCTCAGATGTATCTAGCGTGGGACCTGAAGAAGATTTAAGGATCCCGCTAGGTTTGATAGGTCTAGCATTGAATCTCAGGGTATCAGATAGGGCACTGTCATCGACGTGTGCTGGTTTGAGACGATCAATGCTGACGATCTCGACGCGTCCATATCGATCAACCTTGAAGGTCTTTTCGTGACGAGCGATCACGTGAAAAGGGCCTTCGTAAGGTTGTTGCCAAGGTTTGCGTACCGAATCTACTCGTATGAAAACATGTGAACAGGTAGATAACTCTCGAGGGAGAGCGACCTGTCGATGTTGTATTCGAGTTGACACCGGAGACAGCGTTCGCATAAATGCAGACAGTCGATGGACGTAGTCTGATTTACCGAAATTAGGTCTGCTCCGTGGTGTGAAGAATTCTCCGGGCAGACGCAATGTCGTGCCGTATACAAGTTCAGTGGCGGAACATTGGATATCTGCCTTTAAGCTCGTTCTCACCCCTAAAAGAACGAGCGGTAAGGTTTCGTGCCAGTTGCCGTTTTCGTGTGCTCGTAGAACACTTTTAAGTTGGCAGTGAAACCGTTTACTTAACCATTTGGTGCTGGGTGGTAGACGGATATGCTTATGCGTATGCATTCCGTACCAAGCAGCCGGGTCAGCGAGGAGAATAGTTAATAGGGTAACATTTCTCGAATAAAGCGTGGAATTCATCATCACGCGAATAAAAAGTGACAAGGATTCGGTACACATACGTGTGAGTCTATTATATTAATACTATTCTTATCGTTATCCGTCATGTCGCGTATATTATATATTAAAAAATATGAAAATATACGACAGACGTGGATAGATAAATCATAGACTCACCGAATTGGCTTCTTTGGAAGATTTGATCAGAAGTTGAGGCGTGTTCCAAAATACGGGTCACCAATTGTAGCGTGGCGTCGAGTTGAGGTTAACTATGAACACCGCTACCAAGAAACACGTGCCAAGTTAATCAGAAGGCGAAGGTTGGACGTAACCAAATATATCCATAAAATCCCCGAGAAGCCAAATATCAGAAGACGGTTAATGGACCAAGTCGAGGTGTATATTTGCTGGCGATCTCGTGGCATCGAAAGGATACCGAGATCGTGCCAGGATACAACCTTGGTTACAGAAGGTAACCGAATTCGCGCGAAGTTACAATCGAAGTGTGTGTATAAGAATGGAAGCAAAAATAGCTGTCATTAGCACAGTCAAACAAAAGCACATTAAAACAAACACTGGTACAGTTGGTTATAATAATAATTGTTTTTATTAAACCAGTCGTGTTCTCGTGATAAACGTGAGTCACTACAAGCTTGAATATACACAAACACAAGTCTATTTGCGAAATAAATTCTCAGCAACCAGAAAATGTCAGGTTTTATAGGAAAAACTGTTGTTGAGATGCTTGAACTTGCCATTTGATGACCTTTACGACGAGGTCATTCACCATTGTGCGCTAACAGTCATCGGCATGGGTGTAACTGTTGACACCTACAAGCCAGGCGATGGGAAACGAATTCCGAAGAAAGGTCAAAGAGTCGTTGTTCACTACACTGGTACCCTCATGGATGGGAAAAAGTTTGACAGCTCCCGTGATAGAAATAAACCATTCGAATTTGTAATTGGGACGGGGAAAGTAAATACAATTGCTGTTTTTGAATCTCATCCTTCTAGGTAATTCGAGGTTGGGATGAAGGTATAATTCAAATGAGTGTAGGAGAGCGTGCCTACCTAACTTGTACCCCAGATTACGCATATGGTTCCAAGGGTGTCGACAAAGTTATCCCTCCAAATGCTACACTTAAATTTGATGTGGAATTAATCGATATTTTATAACTCATTCCTGTTTTTTCACTACTCATTGCAAACACTCAATAAATTTTTTTCACTAACGAAAGTCCTGACGCCACTTCATAATTAGTGGGATAACTATACCTAGTGCGCAAAGTTAACTAATACTGCACTGTGAGACCAGTGTTGCAGTAGTGGGTTATTGTTAATGATACGTCCGACTGAACAGCGAGGGGGGACGGTCGAAGGTCATTCCAATCCATGAGTTCGAAATTCACTATACAGCAATTGTGACAAGTTACACAAGTTTACATTCTGTCTAATACAGGCAGCATCCTTCGTCATGTCAAGTTTCATCATTGCCTTCAAACCCATCTTGCGTCTCATCCGAATGCTTCAGAATGTCAAACTCAGTTCACATGTTGAAATGTGACGTAAAGATATCTAAATCATATAATCGGGCACATCCTCAACCTAATGTGAAGAAATACACATCAGTAGAAAGGTTGAAGAGTCGTAACCAAGTGTAGGTACCCTACTAGGTTTGTGTTCACTTACTCTGTCTCGTCCTAGGACTAATAATAATATCCACGGGCAAATAAAATAAGCTTACAGCAAATAACTTACCGCCCTAATCAAATGCTAGACGTACCCCCCGCATAGTTGCTGTTGTGGACACAATGTTTAGTAGTCACAGGCAGTTGCGCGTAAGGGACGGTCGACCCGTGTTTGTATGGTGGCCGTTTGCTGTGGTGTAGTTTCATTGCTGAGCCGACATAGTAACACGGTCTCCCGTCTGAGTATCTGACTAAGGAGCCCACGCCATTATTTCCGACTTGGCTGCTTTCGGCAGCTGGAAATCTAGATTCAGCGACGTTACAACACGCCCTCCAACCGTGAACACATGCATAAATGCGAATGGGATTTCTATTAGCACGGTAAATAGATGGCAGGAGTCGACATACAGTGAACTCACGCCAAATAATTATCGCAACTTTTAAGGTAGGTTAGTGATACGATCACGTAACTACAGCAACAACTACGGAGTACACTTCGCGGCCCAATCGGCTTAGCTGATGACTTTATTTTAGAGCACGCTAAGCTATGGAGCGCAAATAACATGCTTGATATTAGTTGGACTGAGATGGCCACGGTAGGATCCATAAACTCCTTTGTTAGTAGGTGTCTGATAACGGTAATGAAGCGTGCATTGGCACAGTATGTATCCAAACCCATATGTTTTTGTGCAAACCAGGGTTCTTTGTTGGCCTTAGTAATCGCTCATGCAACTGAGGATATTGCCAGCCTAAACTTTCTTCCACCGTTAACGAGTAGCTATCACGCTGGCTTGTCATGAACATTTACAGCTAGTGACATGACATACGGTCAGTTTGAGCCTCGCCCAAATGTATGGAGAGCTAACATGTCAGTCACTCAGGAGTGCGCTGCTGCTAAGACAGATTGGTCAGTAGATATCAGCTCATCAGTTGAAGCATGGTCTATATTTAAAGTCAAGTTTAGTTCAGTTACGTCCCCGTTTATACCATGCCTGGTACCACGCAGACCGAATAACTGCCCACCATGAATAATAATAAGTCAAGAAACTTCTTAGACGTATGGAAAAGTATTAGAATATGTTCATCTCTACTGGCTTAGAACAGTACAGTTCCAGTTATTGTAAGACTAGGAATGCTTGTAAAGCGTTAATAAGAGTAGACAGTCGTATGAAAAACAATTGATCCGTTAATACTGGCAAGAAATGATACCGAAAAAACTGAAGACTTGTCCAGAATATTTCAGTAGTGTTTTCTATCAGCAATGAAGAACGACCGATGGTTAATTGTGATTATGGCGGCTTGGTGATAGACCCTGTAGTTATTGAGAAAGGTACCGTCTTAAGAATACTTCAGCATCTAAAACCTGATAAGTTCAGAAAACTCTACTGAAAGCATGAGAGTTTATACAATACTCAAATGCATGAATTTAGTTTTTGCATGACAGGTTGTAATTAACTATTTCAGGTCTAAGTGATTGTTCATGCGATGGGAAACTGACTTTCAACACGTGGCACTCTAAACAGATCAACATTGTTTCGTAATTCTGATTTTTCCACTGCACAGAATTAACAAAGATGCTATGTCAACAATTCTTATGGATTATTCGGAGTGAATTATTCACGTACTTAAGTTATGTTAAAAGGATCTCAAATCCAAACCAATCTTATCAGTAGAATGGATTCGTATGCTCGTCACTCAGAATCATAACTGATTAAAAAATGGAGTTAACATCTCCCAACTTGCCACTACGTCTCATGATTATTACGTGCTACAAGATCGTCTTAATAATTCGGAAGAGAAACGTGTGTACAAAACTCAAGTATCAACAAACAATCAATCAAAAATTGATCAGTATCATTTCTTAAACCTAAATGAGAGAAGTACGTACTTTTGCAAACATAGGTGAGACGACCAGTTCACGTTTAAAGAGTAACAAAAGTCGCCAACTCAACTTAATATTGGATAGTTTAATTTTTAAAAAAGTCATTTGCAGGCATAAAAATGGGTTATATTTATTGTAAAAAATATTTTAATTCTGATAAAATTATTAGGCTCTACACTCCTGTTGAGCCATAACCATTTGAACCACGATCCGTTTCCGCCAACGATTCACATTCGATTAATTCAGGACAGAAAATACGTTCACAAATCAGTTGTGCTACACGGTCACCTTTTTTTATCTGAAATGAATACAGTAAAATTAGTTAGTAAGCCTGTGAATACCAGGCACGATCGTTCTGAATCTGAGTATAAAGAAACACTCATAAATTAAAATGACGTGTTTTTCGTCGAATAACATTATGAAGGAACAAAATATTGAATTTTAGACTGATAAAGTTAACCAGCAGTAACGAAAGTAGTTATGTATGTGGCAACAATACCCAATAATTTAGTGTAAGGCTAGCCTAATTGCCACAGAGTACTTTTATACAGTACGTATTTTCCTATTAACGCGAGAAACCAGATTCCCAATAAGTCTTACCCACTTTTAAATACATGAGATGTTATATACCACGGCAAATATGTAGATTGCAGTATAGCCATTTCCTCAAAAAGGTATCCAACTAAGTGAACGTACTAACCACAAAAGGTTGTCTGTTAGTCATGATTTTCGGCCGTCAGTGAATAAAATAGAAGTTAGATTCCCATCACAGTTGCTGACGAGAATTTGCAGTCACAAACCATCTGGTAAGGCTACACCAATAGGACACTAATCTGCCTTGAACGAATATCTGCACTAGATACCCTGCCAGTGTCTATTCTACAGGATATCAACACAACTCGGATCAAGAACACGTGACCGGCTTGACTAGGACGTGCGTATGATTCAACGTCAACATCCGACAATAACAAGGGATTGGGAAATAGATAACACATCTAATACCTGTCAGACTAAGTAAGTAACCAATCGCTATTTTACTACCCCACACATCAAAAACCATGGCAAATATGTTCGTGACTATGAGAAAAAAACGGCATTGATACTATCCTGAAGAATCAGGCACTGTGAATTAAGTCACTTGACATATTAAGATATATTATTAGAAATAGGATGTAAATAAAAAATATACATAGCATAACATAACAGACGGCCAGACTAATGTTCCATGTATGGGACAGTTTTTGGATATTTTCCAAATGTGACCATGTTTTGATGCCATAGGCGAGTCAGTTAAGATAATGAATAAAACATTATGGCCTAATAAAAACGGGGAAACAAGTCCATGTAACTAAAAAAAGGCATGTTTTGTTATAGTACGTCTCTGAGAAATCACATCGAAGTGTAGTTATGCAGCAAGTTGCAGCAGTGAAAATGATGAACGATGAACTTACTTCAAAATTTTGTTCTCCAAAGTTAAAAAGTACTACGCCAAGATTTCCCCTATAGTCTCGGTCAATGACGCCAGCACCAACATCAATCCCATGTTTTAAGGCTAGTCCGCTTCGTGGAGCGACACGACCATAACAACCTTCTGGCAATTCAATCTATTTAACAACAGACGACCACGAAAATGAAAGATAAAATGTATTGAGACATTTAGATTGTCAGTAAACAGCGTGTAGAACGTCTATGATGCAGTATCTATATTTAGTCATACACGGAGCCAGAACCTGCACAAGCAGTATAAATTTGATTCAGCAGCAAAGCAATGATGTTCAAGAACGTCGAATGTACGCATAATATGGTAAAGCATGTTGTTAGTATGGGGTAAACTGTTGTAAAAATTTGAGGAATTTGTCCTGATTTGTAATTTTGTATCTTGGTGGATAAGATCCACTTGGAGATATACTTTAAAACTATGTTTTTACTAATATTGATTTGTCATCCTCAAAAGACAATGAAGCAGGATAGATATTAATCAAATTGCTAACATATATTCTTACTTTCCGATCAGAATTTGTAATTTCTAACTCGATTTAAGTTTTACTATTCTAGGAACTAACTCCGCCTGGAGTCCCTCCGGGGGCTACTGCCGGTCCCAAGCCCGGATAAAGGAGGAGGGTTGGGCATGGGGTTAGCGTCCCCATCCCGTAGAAAACTAACTCGCTAAAAAAACGCTAACCAGAAAAAATTATTCAAACCTTTTAAACTCTGCCCTGGGAGTCAGAAGGTCTTCATTTAGAAGAATTATGACGCCTCATGATGAAAGCCGAATTCCTTCGGAAGTTACGAGGCCGATGCCCCTTCTGACAACCAGAGCGACCATTTATTTAGGTACATGGAATGTTCGTACAATGTGGGACACCGGAAGAGCCTTCCAAATTGCTGCAGAAATGAGAAGATACAACCTAGAGGTACTTGGGATCAGTGAAACACATTGGACACAAGTTGGACAACAACGACTAACTACAGGAGAGCTCCTGTTATACTCCGGCCATGAAGAAGAAAATGCACCACATACACAAGGAGTTGCATTGATGCTGTCCAAACAAGCGCAAAATGCACTTATAGGATGGGAATCTCATGGACCAAGGATCATCAAAGCCTCGTTCAAAACAAAGAAAGAGGGCATTTCAATGAACATCATCCAATGCTATGCGCCTACCAACGACTACAATGAAGACGCTAAAGATCAATTCTACAATAGGCTGCAGTCAATCGTCGAGAAGTGCCCAACAAAGGACCTGACCATTCTGATGGGAGATTTCAACGCCAAGGTTGGAACGGACAACACTGGATATGAAGACATCATGGGACGACACGGACTGGGAGAAAGGAACGAAAATGGTGAGAGATTTGCAAATCTATGTGCCTTCAATAAACTGGTCATAGGCGGCACCATATTCCCACATAAACGCATACACAAAACCACATGGACTTCACCGGATCACACCACACAAAACCAAATCGACCATATTTGCATCAACAAAACGTTCAGGAGGACTATAGAGGACGTGAGAACCAAGAGAGGAGCTGATATAGCATCAGATCATCACTTGCTGGTCGCCAAGATGAAATTGAAACTCAAGAAGCACTGGACAACGGGGCGGACAATATCACAAAAGTTCAATACGGCCTTTCTTCAGGATACTAACAAACTCAACAAATTCAAGATAGTCCTCAGCAACAAGTTCCAGGCCTTTCATGATCTACTCAATGGAGAAGGAACTACTGTGGAGAGCAACTGGAAGGGGATCAAAGAGGCAATCACTTCAACATGTCATGAGGTCCTGGGTCACAAGAAGCACCACCACAAGGAATGGATCACTGTTGATACACTGGATAAGATTCAAGAAAGAAGGAACAAGAAGGCAGCAATCAATACCAGTCGAACAAGAGCAGAAAAAGCCAAGGCACAAGCTGAATACACGGAAATAAACAAACAAGTGAAGAGGAGCATCAGAACCGACAAACGTAAATATGTGGAAGATTTAGCAACGACGGCGGAAAAGGCTGCAAGAGAAGGAAACATGAGACAATTGTATGACACGACAAAGAAACTCTCTGGAAATCGCCGCAAACCAGAACGACCAGTGAAAAGCAAGGAAGGCAAGGTAATCACCAACATTGAAGAGCAACAAAACAGGTGGGTAGAACACTTCAAAGAACTCTTGAATCGACCAGCTCCACTGAACCCACCCAACATCGAAGCAGCACCCACGGACCTCCCAATCAATGTTGGCCCACCAACAATTGAAGAAATCAGCATGGCCATCAGACAAATCAAGAGTGGCAAAGCAGCAGGACCGGACAACATTCCAGCAGAGGCACTAAAAGCAGACGTAGCGGCAACTGCAAGGATACTCCACATTCTCTTCAATAAGATTTGGGATGAGGAACAAGTACCAACAGACTGGAAAGAAGGACTTCTGATCAAAATACCGAAGAAAGGCGATCTCAGCAAGTGTGATAACTACAGGGGCATCACTCTTCTCTCAATACCGGGAAAAGTCTTCAACAGGGTATTGTTAAACAGGATGAAGGACTGCGTAGACGCCCAACTTCGTGACCAACAGGCAGGATTCCGTAAGGATAGATCGTGTACAGACCAAATCGCAACTCTACGGATCATTGTGGAACAATCAATTGAATGGAATTCATCACTCTACATCAACTTCATTGACTACGAAAAGGCATTTGATAGCGTGGACAGAACAACACTATGGAAACTTCTTCGACACTACGGCGTGCCTCAGAAGATAGTCAATATCATACAGAACTCATATGATGGATTACACTGCAAAATTGTGCATGGAGGACAGTTGACAAAGTCGTTCGAAGTGAAGACCGGTGTTAGGCAAGGTTGCTTACTCTCACCCTTTCTCTTTCTCCTGGTGATCGACTGGATCATGAAGACGTCAACGTCTGAAGGGAAGCGCGGGATACAATGGACATCTAAGATGCAGTTGGATGATCTAGACTTCGCAGACGATCTGGCCCTTCTATCCCAAACGCAACAACAGATGCAGGAGAAGACAAACAGTGTGGCAGCAGCCTCAGCAGCAGTAGGTCTCAATATACACAAAGGGAAAAGCAGGATTCTCCGATACAACACAGCATGCACCAATCCAATCACAATTGACGGAGAAGATTTGGAAGATGTAAAAACCTTTACATATTTGGGCAGCATCATTGATGAACAGGGTGGATCTGATGCAGATGTGAAGGCGCGGATCGGCAAAGCAAGAGCAGCATATTTACAACTGAAGAACATCTGGAACTCAAAGCAACTGTCAACCAACACCAAGGTCAGGATTTTCAATACAAATGTCAAGACAGTTCTACTGTATGGGGCAGAAACCTGGAGAACTACAAAAGCCATCATCCAGAAAATACAGGTGTTTATTAACAGTTGTCTACGCAAAATACTTCAGATCCATTGGCCGGACACTATTAGCAACAACGTACTGTGGGAGAGAACAAACCAGATCCCAGTGGAGGAAGAAATCAGGAAGAAGCGCTGGAAGTGGATAGGACACACATTGAGGAAAGCACCCAACTGCGTCACAAGACAAGCCCTCACATGGAATCCTGAAGGTCAAAGGAAAAGAGGAAGACCAAAGAACACATTACGCCGAGAAATGGAGATAGACATGAGAAAAATGAACAAGAATTGGATGGAACTAGAAAAGAAGGCCCAGGACAGAGTGGGTTGGAGAATGCTGGTCAGCGGCCTATGCTCCATTGGGAGTAACAGGCGTAAGTAAGTAAGTAAGTAAGTATTCTAGGAACTAGACGTTGGGGTAATATATAACATTATCTTTCAAAGCATAGTTGGTATATACAGGTCCCCAAGCGCCCTGGTAAGGCCGAGGGTGAAGAGAGTCCTCCATCTCGAAATGGTCTCAAATGGCCACGTGCATACAACCACTGCCAGGGAAGTCCTACTCACTGCCTTCTCGTGGTGGGGGTGTTTACGAAATTTAGAAGACGAAAAGAGAATGTGATTAGTAAAAACCCGTATGGGAAGGTAGTGAGATAGCAATAACTATACTTTTTGATGCTTTAAACATGTAAGTTCAACAAATAGAAATTTTAGTGCCAAATTTTCTATTGAGTACGAACTTCTATATTCCAAGCTACTGAAAACTTTACACTGAGTGACTTCAAGCCACATTACGGATCTTGAGTAGACAGTTTTCTTTACGTAGTACAGGTGGTCCAGACTAGTATATGAACTGGTGCTTATTGAATACATATACGAAGGTGGGGGATATTGTGATCATAAATTCAGTTTGAGCCTGAGTATGAAACCAGAATCTGTACATTAGCAAATTTAGTTTTAGTGACCATACTTATCTATAACAAACTTTACATAACAGAATAATTACTGAAACAATTTTTATATAGATCACCTGTATGTCAGTTTTAATTAATTCACGACCCCCAGGAGGTATGGTAGCTTCATGAGCAGCATAAAGATCGTAACCAGCAGCAAAGAGAGATCCACGAGTAGGAGTTGTCGCTTGATAGGATAGCTTTTTGTATTTAAGCTTGACGTTACTAGGATAGCTATTCTCAAACGGCAGCGATTCTAGCATGGTTTTACACACAAACTGAATTTTACAGAAATTTGCTTTCGCTAGAATAACAATTACTTTAAGAAGTCCTAGTGTAATAGGAAAGTATAAAAAACAGAAAGTAATCTTGATTCCGTATTACCCTATGGTTGTAAGCATGATCTATAAAAAGAGGAGATACGCGTAAGCTAAACATTTTAATAAAAGATATCCTTTAGGGATTGCTAGGGCTTGATGAAACAACGGAGTGGGCAACCAGGAGATTATAAATTATGGACGAACGAAAGAAATCAAAGATAGCACATCCTGAATTTTGGTGCGAAACTCATCCATATGGTTAAATAGCATTTTAGCACTAAAGCATGATGAAAACTAACTGTAATTCCTAACCTTAACGTTTACCCGCAGATCCTAATTTTTGGCACTAATATATAACCCTCACTTAGCCCTAGCAAGTAGGTAGACACATTCCAGGTCAGTTTAGAAATGCTCAAAGGTCGTCCATTGATTATAACCTCACTAGAAATGATGAGGTCAGAGGCAAGATATCACGGAAAGATGATAAATTGATTGTTGAGGTCATTAGTCTGCATCGATCGAAGTGGCTAAGACACTGAACTTTACAAGCTATGGTGGCTGAACTAGAAATAAGTAAAATAAAACTAAAATGGCCAAACCAAAACATGGCATCCGTTTACAAATTTAGTGACTACTGAACAGAATCGTGTTCATAAATGAAAGCTAAATAGTTGGGGTTAAGAGATTAGAAATTGGACACATGGTCCATAATTGGTCACAAGGACGCAGATGTGCCCAACTTTTATCCTTCCTGTATTGAGCTGATTTTTTCTTAATTATCACTACTGACTGAAAATCCTACAAACATATTTGTTGAAGACAAAGTAAATGAAAGCCCAGAACTATAAGATGAAAATAGACAACTAATAATAGGCAACAATAGCTGATGTATTGTACAGACAGACGAATATAGGCAAAGGACTAAGGGTGGTAGTTTATCTTTTGATCATATCATGTTATGTACATGGACAGTGAGGATATCAGTAAGATCATGGAAGCACTTATAAATGAATGACACGACAATTGGAAATACCAACTAACACTACAAAGTGCATAGGAACATGAATTAATGTATGAATAGATAATATAAATAAACGTAGATATAAATATCTACAACACCAAATCACCCATTGATCAGACTCGGTGACCTACGGATTAGCACTAGGCTTTGAAAGAAGTAATATCTCTAACAATAAAAAGCACTGGTTTTTCTAAATCTAGGTAGTTCCTAAAGCTATGACATAGCACAAAAGCATCAAGCCCTAATTTGAAGGATTTCATAGAACAAAGCACAGCGACAAAGGTTCTGAAACCCTCAACCCAGTAAGCAAGAATGTGGTATCAACAATCAAGTGCGGGCTCAAACAAGTCGGACGCAAACTGCGCAAACCCGTGCTTCTAATGCAGTTGCCTCCACACTTCACAGGCGATTAGTCCTGCCTATCAAGCTAGAATAACCAGACCAAAAAGACAATACGACTGCTTGCACTAAAATAAATCCGGCTAAACCTAAACTTTTAGACCAGCTACTCTGTTGTTGTAACAATGAGTTTCAGTATGATGTAGTCCCATATTTCTGGTTGATATGTATAGCAGACCCATGGGGCTGCAGCCGGGCGAATTTAGCAAACTCGCAGCTTTACACTTTAGCACATAATCCTACTTGTTCGCATGCGTATTCCGATGAGAAAAATGTACATTTACCAAGATGTATACCATATATGAGAAATCAGGTTATGCAGTTGATAAACTAGGCCAGTAGCAGCATGTAAACAGCCCATAAACAAGAATCACTACACGACAAAGATCAATAAGAAACCTACTTAAAGCAAAATCAATTGAATCAATTCTCCGCGCTGAAGCGAACGAAATCAGTTTCCAATGGTTTAAATTGTTCTAAATGGTACAAATGGTTAAAATGGTTGTAGACGGAACAGAAGAAGCTTTCGCTTAACAGGCTTCCGTGTCTAGTAGCAGGAGATCACTAATACCTCCAGGCAGGAACCTAGGTATGTAAATCATAGTATTATACTATCCTTAATCCTTAAGAATAAACCAAGTTGCATCTTAAAGGACTCCTGGGAAGTTGCTTGGACTAGCTCGCTCGGCAGCGAATTCCAGCATTTGACAACTCTTAAGGAGTAGAAGTTGTGTCTACAGTCCGTTCTGCTATGTTGTGTCTCCAGTTTTTGGGTGTTACCTCTTAGGTTAATGTTGGAACTAAGCTTAAATAGGTGTCTAAAAGGATGTCCAGAAGTGTTAAGGATACTGTAAGCCATAAGCATGTCACCTCTAAGACGCCTATACTCTAATAGGTAAAAGGTTAAGTGATTGAAGGCGCTCTTCATAAGGTTGAAATTTGAGTCCTCGAACTGATTTCGTAACTCGCCGTTGGATACGCTCCAGAGTGTCCATATCCTTTTGCAGTGAGGGAGGAAATACTATGTTTCCGTACTCTAAATGGAGACGGATAAAACTATCGATGATTAAATGGAAAGTTCTTCCATCCAAATGGTCAAAAATGCGCCTTAATGTTACCAGTGTAAGGTTTGCTCGAAAGGCATTTTTGTCACAGCGTAAAACTTTAAATCGTAGGGAACCAAAATTCTTAATATTTTTCGACTTGGGATAATACTGGAGAGGAGTTCTCTAAGTTATAACTGTAGTCTGCGACATGTCGCAGATGGACGACTTTTTAATTCGAAGTGTTAAAAAAAATTCCGTTATCGTCTGCACAGCTTTGGAGTCGAGTCAGATCCTCCTGAAGTGCCCGTATATTTTCTTGGTTGCGTATCTCTCTTCAAAGTTTCATGTCACCGGCAAAAAGTAATAAGTCTGACGTCGCCTGTTGAGGAAGATCATTTATATAAATCAAGGAGAGAAGAGGTCCTAGTACTGAGTCCTGACGGACCCCTCTAGGACATTCCATAGCCTGAGATAAAACGAAGTCGACCCTGACCTTAAAGTGTCGATTTATTAGGTATGAAGTAAGCCAATCGATTAGAGGTGGTTTGATACCTAATCGTTTGAGCTTATTGGCAAGACACAAGTGGTTAACCTTATCAAAAGCTTTTGAGAAATCAAGGTAAATGATATCAACCTTCCGCTTGAGATCGAGGATGCCTGTCCATCTGTCCACCGCAGTCAGCAGGTTAGTTATACAAGAGTGACCCTTCCTGAAACCATGCTGTTGGGTGAGAAGTAATTTAAGGACAGTAAATAGTCATATATACCATCGCATATCAGGGACTCCATGATCTTTGAAGGTATAGAGAGAAGAGCCACCGGTCGGTAACTTGAAGGTTTGCTGCGTCAACCTCCTTTGAAAATTGGTGTGACGTGAGCCAGCTTCCAATTTTCCGATAGTTTGCCTCGGCTTAGCGAGTGTGAGAACATCACGCTAAGCGGTATTGCCAGGACTGAGGCTACTCCCCTCAGTATAGCAGAATAGACCATATCTGGGCCAGGAGGTGCTGCAGCTTCCGGAACACCAAATCAGCGCTCAGGTTCACTACAGAAAGTCTTGTGCAGTTGCAGATGAAGCTGTCATCAATATAGTTGATGTGGCTCGGTTGAAACGTCCGAGAGTATTGTTCAGCCTAAAGGTTAGTGGCATCGCCGTCGTTGTTGGTTGGGCCATTAGGACCTAGCAGTTGGGAAACTCCAGTTTTGGCTTGACGAAGAGAGGCTGCATAACGGAATAAGCTTTTCGGATTAGAGACAAATTTATCCATAAGCTTTATCTGGTACTGAAGTCTGTCTTCTCTTATAGCCTTCGTGCATATGTTCTTAATATGTTTGTGTTGTCTGTACGCGCCGTTGTTATCAGTTCGTTTGTATTCTGCCCAACAGTACTTTTAGCTGTATAGCAAGCGAACTGTGTGGTTCTGGATGATTGTAGGTTGCTTGTAGCTTTTGAGGACAGTTTGAGGAACTGACTGCTTTGTAGCACATTAAAACGTGTTCAGTAAGAAGTCCCAATGAGTATCCACATCAAGTAGAGGGTGAACATCTCAGTCCACCTATTGTAGATAGTCCTGTAGAGCTGACACATTCAACCCTTTGAAATTCCAGCGCATGTTGTTGGTGGGGTATCTTAGCTCGGTTTTGCAGACAAAAGTGAAGGCTATAACGGCGTGGTCGCTTTTTCTCAGGGGAGTCAGGATTGAGAGGTTTTCAATTAGAAATTCTTCGTTTGTAAATACACAGTCTAAGCGCGACGGTGTCTGACTGTTTCTCCAACGAGTTGTCGACTTTACATTTTTGTATAATCCCAAATACTCAACGAGGTTGAAGAACCGAGTTTCAGTTGAGTTTTCACCCCCAATATACGTATGTTCCGTGAAATTGACTCTAGGGAGATTGAAGTCCCCTAGAATCAAAATATGAGTGAAACCAAGACGCATAGAGCGGGATAGTCCTTCCAGCATACGACTGTCATACTCGATGTCAGCAGTGGGCTTCCTATATATGACTCCGACTAGGCACCTCGAAGTAGTAGACAATCTTACAGAGCACCAAATGGATTCTACACGATTGTTAAACTCGAGGTTGTGAACTTGGTTTGCCTCCAAGCAAGATTGTATGTATAAAGCCACTCCACCCCCAATTCCTGTTTTTCTGTCGTTGCGAAGCAAAGACATCCCAGGTACTGCTAGCTCCTGGCCCGATAACTGAGAAGATAACCAAGATTCATGATTCTAGACGGAATAGAAGGATCTTTTGCTTCACAGTCTCTGGTATTTCGTAGCAGTGGATCACCGAAGTTTTCAGGTAAGAACCTAGGTATATTAACAATAATAGAGAAAAAAGAGATAAAAGTTGGTAAATTATAATAGGATAGTGTGTTTGGTACTTAAGAATATGTGAAGTTTTCTCTTGAAGGACTCCTTGGAAGTAGCTTGAACTAGCTCAGTCAACAGCAAGTTCCAACACTTGATTTCTCTTGAGGAGTAGGTGTGCCTATGGTCCGTTCTACTGTTGTATGTCTCTAGCTTCTGGGTATTACTACTGGGTTTTATGTTGCGACGGAGCTTAAGTAAGTGTTTGAAGGGATGCTAAGAAGTGTTTGAAATATTGTATGTCATTAGAATGTCACCTCTAAGAAGCCTGTACTCTAATGTGCAATGGTACAGTGATTAGAGGCGTTCTTCATAAGACATTAATTTGAGTCCCCAACTGATTTCGTGGCTCAGCGTTGGATACCTTACAGTGTGTCCTCGTCGTTTTGGAATGAGAGAGGAGACGCTATATTCCCATACTCTAAATGAAGTCGAGAAAAACTGTCGAAGACTAGGCCGAAAGTCCTTCGGTGGAACTAGCCGAAAACGCGCTCCAACTTTATTTGCTCCGAAGGCGTATTTGTCACAGTTAGCGTAAGACTTCAAATTGTAGGATACCAACACCCCTTAGTACTTTCCAGTTTGGGAAACCTCTAGAGCGCAGTTACTTTAGTTGTATCTGTCACGTCCAAGTTTTGCTCGTCCCAGTTATTGAAGTACGGACTATCGACCTACTTGCAAATTACGAACCCAAAGTGACAACAGAACCAAAACTCCAATTCAGATACCAAATTTATTCGCAATTCACAAATAGTCGACCAAATGTCGTTCTAACAACAATAATTATAACAATTACAAAACAAACCTTCAATTTTGTAGGTTCCCGGAGCAAAACTACCAAATACCAAACCAACGACAAAGGGGAACCAAAATGTCCGAAACAACGATATTAACAAACAAGTTCAAAAGTCAAGTAAGACAAATACATCCAAAAACACAGTAAATGATTAATATGCAGAAAAAGGGTTTTAATTCGCCAAATGTCTTCACTTCTCCTGTAACAGTATCGTTTGACTTTATTGATAAAACATATATGATTGACCCTATCGGAAGCTTTTGAAAAGCCAAGGTGAATGACGTCACCCCTTCCCTTGCGATAAAAAATGATTGTCCATCCGTCCACCGTAGTCAGCAGGTTGTTTATGCAAGTGTGGCCTTTCCTGAAACCGAGCTGTTAAGGTGAAAGTATGTTCATGGATAGTAAGTAGTCACATAGATCATCGTGTATCAGGAACTCTATAAGTTTTGAGGGAATTGATAGGAGTGCTATAAGTCGGTAGCTCGAAGGTTTGCTATGTCGATCTCCATGGAAAATTAGTGTGACATGAGCCAGCTTCCAATTTTCTGGTAACCTGTCTGGGCTTAGAAAATATGAGAACATAGATAATAATAATAACAATAATGATTTATTCTCAAATAACAGTTTGTTACATGAGGCATGCCGGTTTACAGGCAAGACCAATTTGATACAAATGATACAATATTCACTGTAGTAAATTACAAAGCTGGATTGATAATTTATAAGATATGAATCTAGATGGTTTTAATCAGTTCTACAGTTAGCGCGCTTCATGAAAGCTGCGTTGCGAATGTGCGACTGATGGTCGAGGATAGGTCCATTGAAGGTATGAGCTTCTAGAAATCGCAACCTTATGTCCCTTTGTGATATCCAAGGCTTTAAGGATGGTGCAGGATGAAGTCACCCGTTCCATATCTCAAGGGGGCTGAAAGAGGGGGCAAGTAAAAGAAAACACGAGAGGCAGAGTAGCCAATATTTGTTAAGAAAGAGCATTTTAATAGGTTAAAGAAAATAAGTGTTAGCAAGGTATGAGTGGACATACAACTGACAAATGGAGGCGATTCGGAAAAGAGCTGAGAGTATAAGATTATGTGTGATTATAAAATAAAATAAAGTGCTAGAAACAGTATTGTGATATACAATTGGCTATCTTCCTTTTATTATCGAAGCTATTAGAGCCCCTTTCGTTTTTTTGTATTATTATTTTTTTCAGGTATTATAGGGTCTTGAGTAGGCTTCGTATATTAGCGAATTGTCTAGTTTGCTTGTAATAGGATTTCTGGGTAGGAAGTGAAACCAATTCAACGTTCGTAACACGATTTAAAGAGGTATTTTGCGTGATAAATCAGCTTCAATACCATAAGTTCGTGACATCCCACTAAACCATAAGGAGCCGTAATTAAACAAAATGTTCTGCCCTACAGACATGGGTGGATTGAAGTTATCTCCCCACCTTCATGTTTGCTGGTCAGTAACGCCACCCTCCCTCCTTTTGTGATGTTAGGCTCTCTTACGTTTGTGGTAAGTATGAATACTGCTTTAATCAAAGCCCATAGTTGGAATACACTGTCTCTACTAGGTCCATGTTACAAGCAAATCAGATAGTTGAAAAGTCTTTTATGGGTTAGATGTCCATATAGTATATCACACTGCTATGAAAATAACTAATGGTTTAAAGAAGTAAGGACTAATAGCAAATCAAAAGATATGAGAGGGTATAAAATTGTAGAAAAAAATTTCAGGGTAAGACAAATAAAACATTGAGAAACTCACAAGACTTTGTGGACAAATTTTGAGCTTTGTATGATCGGCCTTAGTAGATCAGCATCCATAAGATTGAGCTATCTGTCTAATTGCAGTAGAAAAAAAAAGCATGACTTTTAGGAAGAATAATGTACATTTAACCTGTAGAGATTTGGGGACTGAAAGCTAGGGTTAGGAGCATGAAGTCATGATTAATAAACAATGAATAATAGGAAAGGATAAGCCATATATTCTGTGATTTGGTTATATTCATATTAGTAACAGTCGAACTTGTTATAATTTTGTTCTTTCTAGATACTAGGCGGTCCGTAATAAAGTGCCTCATTGGTGGGCGGGAGTTCAAGGAAATGTTGAAGCTCTTTGGAGTCTAGAAATAGGGTTATTAGCTTTTTGAATCTGGTAAACGTATCACAGTTACGGATAGGCATTGGCAGCCTGTTCCACAATAAACTGTACCGTACTGTAAAGAACTTACAACGCATTTGTTTTTGGTGTTTTACGGTAAGTAGTGTATATGCGTTGTTTCTAAGTCTATAGGCTGGGTCGTGGGTGATAGTCGGGCAGGAGGTTAGAAAGGAGAGCCCATATATCGCTTTGTAGAGAAATATTAAATTGTTTTTTAGCCTACGGTGCCATAAAGGTTCTAAAGATAGATGCTTACATCTGTCTGTGTAATCGAGATTCGAGTTACATCCTAGTAGTTGACGTGTGAAACGTCTTTGAACATCTTCTACTCTTATCTTGTCTGCGATATTCATATTAGAGAAGACAAAAGAGCAGTATTCAAGGGAGGGTCGTACACATATTTTGTAGAGAGTAAGTTTACCCTCTGTTGTGAAAAAGTTTTTCATTATAAAACCAATTAGCCGTCTAGATTTAGAAATAATAGAAGAGGCATGTTCTTCAAAGTTCACGGATAGACCACGTAATGACAAGATCAAGGACTAATCTAATTCTGGACTGCCGAGACAACGAAGAAAATGCAGGAATGATAAGGGCTGCTAACTCGGAACACCCTGTGTCAGCAGGTTACCTGTCCGCTCATACAAAGCTCATATAGACAAATGGGATGGGAAGCTCATGTGTTTGAACTTGAGGGCATAACAGGAATAACAGAAACCCGAAATGGTTTCTTCAAAACACTTGTGTACCCATAAGATGTTTGTGAATAATAATAATATAAAATTGATGCTGGTAATACTCATTTGATAAGAATATCTGAAACATGGATATCTTCTCAAATTGCGGATCAGGAGCAATACCGAAGATGTCTTGTTTGGCAACGAGAGAAAAACAGGGATGGAGGCGAGATGGCTTTGTCCCTGAGATCTCGCTTGAAAGTACATCAGGTGCACAACCAAGAGTTTATCAATCCTCATAAATCTGCGTGGTGCTCGTAAGAATTTCTGTCACCTCGAGGTGTCTAGTCGGAGTCAACTGAAGGTAGTCTACTGCTGACATCGAGTATGAAAGTCGTATGCTGGAGGGGTTACTTATTCTACTCATCTCGGATTTACTCATACCCTGATTCTAGAGAACTTCAATTTCGCAGAACATACTTACATTGGAGGAGAAAACACTTCTTAAGCTCGGTTCTTCAACCTCATCGAGGATCTGGGATTATTCGAAAATGTCGTTTGCACTTAGACTGCACATTTACAAACGAATCATTCTTATTTGACAACCTCTCAATCCTTGCTCACCTGTGTGAAAATGACCAGGCCGTCACAGCCTTTAGTTTTATCAGCAAAACTGAGCTAAGACATCCTACAAAAAACAGGCGCTGGAATTTCGAACAGTTGGATGTGTCAGTTTTACAGGACGATCTACAGGAGGTGGACTGGGAAGTTCACCCTTGACCTGATGTGGATGCTCATTTGGATTTCTTACTGCATATGATATTATACGCTTCAAAGCCGTCCGTTCCGCAAATGGTCCCCGAAATCTAAAGACAACCTACAGTCATCAGGAATCATACTCCTCGGTTCCTAAGCCACAAAAGGCACTATTGGGCGGAATACGAACGAACTAGTAATAACAACACATAAAGGCAATTCAAACATACAAGGAACCATTTTACAGAGGCAATGAGAGAAGACAGACTTCAGTATAACACAAATCTTATCGACAAATTTGTCTCCAATCCGAAAAGCTTAGTCCATCATGCAGCCTCTCTTCAAAGAGACAAAACCGGAGTTCCCCGAACTCTAGGTCCTAATGGCTCGATCAGCAATGACAGTAACGCCGCCAATCATCTAACGGGACAGTACTTCCGAACATTTCAACCGATCCATACTAATTATATTGATGAAATGTTCACCTGTAACCCAACAGTAAAACTCAGAACCGGACCTCAGTGTTGACCTTGTGTACCGTAAACTGCAGCATCTGAAAAAGACACTCCTGCTGGTCAGGATATGTTTCATCCTGCTATAATAATGGAAGAGACTTCAAACTTGGAAAAACAACTTAGTGCTATGTTCTCATATTTTCTAAGCCCAGACAGGTTACCAGAAAATTGGAAGCTGGCTCATGTCACACTAATTTTCCATGGAGATCGACATAGCAAACCTTCGAGCTACCGACTTATAGCACTCCTATCAATTCCCTCAAAACTTATAGAGTTCCTGATACACGATGATCTATGTGACTACTTACTATCCATGAACATACTTTCACCTTAACAGCTCGGTTTCAGGAAAGGCCACACTTGCATAAACAACCTGCTGACTACGGTGGACGGATGGACAATCATTTTTTATCGCAAGGGAAAGGGTGACGTCATTCACCTTGGCTTTTCAAAAGCTTCCGATAGGGTCAATCATATATGTTTTATCAATAAAGTCAAACGATACTGTTACAGGAGAAGTGAAGACATTTGGCGAATTAAAACCCTTTTTCTGCATATTAATCATTTACTGTGTTTTTGGATGTATTTGTCTTACTTGACTTTTGAACTTGTTTGTTAATATCGTTGTTTCGGACATTTTGGTTCCCCTTTGTCGTTGGTTTGGTATTTGGTAGTTTTGCTCCGGGAACCTACAAAATTGAAGGTTTGTTTTGTAATTGTTATAATTATTGTTGTTAGAACGACATTTGGTCGACTATTTGTGAATTGCGAATAAATTTGGTATCTGAATTGGAGTTTTGGTTCTGTTGTCACTTTGGGTTCGTAATTTGCAAGTAGGTCGATAGTCCGTACTTCAATAACTGGGACGAGCAAAACTTGGACGTGACAGATACAACTAAAGTAACTGCGCTCTAGAGGTTTCCCAAACTGGAAAGTACTAAGGGGTGTTGGTATCCTACAATTTGAAGTCTTACGCTAACTGTGACAAATACGCCTTCGGAGCAAATAAAGTTGGAGCGCGTTTTCGGCTAGTTCCACCGAAGGACTTTCGGCCTAGTCTTCGACAGTTTTTCTCGACTTCATTTAGAGTATGGGAATATAGCGTCTCCTCTCTCATTCCAAAACGACGAGGACACACTGTAAGGTATCCAACGCTGAGCCACGAAATCAGTTGGGGACTCAAATTAATGTCTTATGAAGAACGCCTCTAATCACTGTACCATTGCACATTAGAGTACAGGCTTCTTAGAGGTGACATTCTAATGACATACAATATTTCAAACACTTCTTAGCATCCCTTCAAACACTTACTTAAGCTCCGTCGCAACATAAAACCCAGTAGTAATACCCAGAAGCTAGAGACATACAACAGTAGAACGGACCATAGGCACACCTACTCCTCAAGAGAAATCAAGTGTTGGAACTTGCTGTTGACTGAGCTAGTTCAAGCTACTTCCAAGGAGTCCTTCAAGAGAAAACTTCACATATTCTTAAGTACCAAACACACTATCCTATTATAATTTACCAACTTTTATCTCTTTTTTCTCTATTATTGTTAATATACCTAGGTTCTTACCTGAAAACTTCGGTGATCCACTGCTACGAAATACCAGAGACTGTGAAGCAAAAGATCCTTCTATTCCGTCTAGAATCATGAATCTTGGTTATCTTCTCAGTTATCGGGCCAGGAGCTAGCAGTACCTGGGATGTCTTTGCTTCGCAACGACAGAAAAACAGGAATTGGGGGTGGAGTGGCTTTATACATACAATCTTGCTTGGAGGCAAACCAAGTTCACAACCTCGAGTTTAACAATCGTGTAGAATCCATTTGGTGCTCTGTAAGATTGTCTACTACTTCGAGGTGCCTAGTCGGAGTCATATATAGGAAGCCCACTGCTGACATCGAGTATGACAGTCGTATGCTGGAAGGACTATCCCGCTCTATGCGTCTTGGTTTCACTCATATTTTGATTCTAGGGGACTTCAATCTCCCTAGAGTCAATTTCACGGAACATACGTATATTGGGGGTGAAAACTCAACTGAAACTCGGTTCTTCAACCTCGTTGAGTATTTGGGATTATACAAAAATGTAAAGTCGACAACTCGTTGGAGAAACAGTCAGACACCGTCGCGCTTAGACTGTGTATTTACAAACGAAGAATTTCTAATTGAAAACCTCTCAATCCTGACTCCCCTGAGAAAAAGCGACCACGCCGTTATAGCCTTCACTTTTGTCTGCAAAACCGAGCTAAGATACCCCACCAACAACATGCGCTGGAATTTCAAAGGGTTGAATGTGTCAGCTCTACAGGACTATCTACAATAGGTGGACTGAGATGTTCACCCTCTACTTGATGTGGATACTCATTGGGACTTCTTACTGAACACGTTTTAATGTGCTACAAAGCAGTCAGTTCCTCAAACTGTCCTCAAAAGCTACAAGCAACCTACAATCATCCAGAACCACACAGTTCGCTTGCTATACAGCTAAAAGTACTGTTGGGCAGAATACAAACGAACTGATAACAACGGCGCGTACAGACAACACAAACATATTAAGAACATATGCACGAAGGCTATAAGAGAAGACAGACTTCAGTACCAGATAAAGCTTATGGATAAATTTGTCTCTAATCCGAAAAGCTTATTCCGTTATGCAGCCTCTCTTCGTCAAGCCAAAACTGGAGTTTCCCAACTGCTAGGTCCTAATGGCCCAACCAACAACGACGGCGATGCCACTAACCTTTAGGCTGAACAATACTCTCGGACGTTTCAACCGAGCCACATCAACTATATTGATGACAGCTTCATCTGCAACTGCACAAGACTTTCTGTAGTGAACCTGAGCGCTGATTTGGTGTTCCGGAAGCTGCAGCACCTCCTGGCCCAGATATGGTCTATTCTGCTATACTGAGGGGAGTAGCCTCAGTCCTGGCAATACCGCTTAGCGTGATGTTCTCACACTCGCTAAGCCGAGGCAAACTATCGGAAAATTGGAAGCTGGCTCACGTCACACCAATTTTCAAAGGAGGTTGACGCAGCAAACCTTCAAGTTACCGACCGGTGGCTCTTCTCTCTATACCTTCAAAGATCATGGAGTCCCTGATATGCGATGGTATATATGACTATTTACTGTCCTTAAATTACTTCTCACCCCAACAGCATGGTTTCAGGAAGGGTCACTCTTGTATAACTAACCTGCTGACTGCGGTGGACAGATGGACAGGCATCCTCGATCTCAAGCGGAAGGTTGATATCATTTACCTTGATTTCTCAAAAGCTTTTGATAAGGTTAACCACTTGTGTCTTGCCAATAAGCTCAAACGATTAGGTATCAAACCACCTCTAATCGATTGGCTTACTTCATACCTAATAAATCGACACTTTAAGGTCAGGGTCGACTTCGTTTTATCTCAGGCTATGGAATGTCCTAGAGGGGTCCGTCAGGACTCAGTACTAGGACCTCTTCTCTCCTTGATTTATATAAATGATCTTCCTCAACAGGCGACGTCAGACTTATTACTTTTTGCCGGTGACATGAAACTTTGAAGAGAGATACGCAACCAAGAAAATATACGGGCACTTCAGGAGGATCTGACTCGACTCCAAAGCTGTGCAGACGATAACGGAATTTTTTTTAACACTTCGAATTAAAAAGTCGTCCATCTGCGACATGTCGCAGACTACAGTTATA